AATTTAATGTTTAGTATAGAGCTTAGAAAAAATTCGCAGTGTGAGATAGGCAAGAAGTAAAGCATGGCAAAGGGCACTACTTTAAAGGCAAGTAAGGGCAAAAATATTTTAAGTCGATAGCGATTGCTGTATGAGTCGTTCGATTTTTGAATCAAGTACGGGCAACGCCGAGCCATGCTGCTAGTATATATATATATATATATATATATATATACGTAGTATTTTTCTCTTAATATTTTTCTTTCTTTCTGTATCTACCACAAACATTGTTGATAATTATCTATCTATCTATCTATCTATCTATCTATCTATCTATCTATCAGATAGATAGATCCACTGGAATGAACCCCATACCCATGTGCACGACATGGCTCACGTAGGCGTGGTATATAAAAAATTAGAGAAGCTGAGTGAGCGCTCTATGTGACCTATACAGGAGGCTTGCGGCTATCGTTTGCAGTTTGAAAATCGTGATTAACTGAGTGTTAAAAAATTCAGAAAAGGCTTTGTAAAACAAACGAAAAAAATGGATTTTCATTTTGCCGTCGAAACCGACTCATTCCTTCTTTGTTAGACGTCGTGCTTAATCAGAACGTTTTACATGATTTATTTCATAACTAATAACATTAGAAAATGGGAGACGAAAAGAGAAAGATGACGAATTAAAAAGAAGACGAAAGGAGAAAGATGCTGAAGTAAAAAAAAGAAGACGAAATGATAGAAATGCCGAGAAAAAGAAGTCGAAAGGCGAAAGAAGTTAAAGAAAAAAAGCCGACAGTAGAGAGATGATGAAGAAAAAGACGATGAAAGTAGAGAGATGCTGAAGAAAAAAGATGAAACTAGAGATGCCGAAAAAAAAAGATGTAAGTAGAGAGATGCTGAAGGAAAAAAATGAAAGTAGAGAGATGCTGAAGAAAAGAAGATGAAACTACAGATGCTGAAGAAAAAAGAAGATGAAACTACAGATGCTGAAGATAAAAGAAGATGAAACTACAGATGCTGAAGATAAAAGAAGATGAAACTACAGATGCTGAAGATAAAAGAAGATGAAACTACAGATGCTGAAGAAAAAGAAGATGAAACTACAGATGCCGAAGAAAAAAGAAGATGAAACAACAGATGCTGAAGAAAAAAGAAGATGAAACAACAGATGCTGAAGAAAAAAGATGAAACTACAGATGCTGAAGAAAAAAGAAGATGAAACAACAGATGCTGAAGAAAAAAAAGATGAAACAACAGATGCTGAAGAAAAAAAGAAGATGAAACTACAGATGCTGAAGAAAAAAAGAAGATGAAACTACAGATGCTGAAGAAAAAAAGATGAAACTACAGATGCTGAAGAAAAAAAGATGAAACTACAGATGCTGAAGAAAAAAGAAGATGAAACTACAGATGCTGAAGAAAAAAGATGAAACTACAGATGCTGAAGAAAAAAGAAGATGAAACTACAGATGCTGAAGAAAAAGAAGATGAAACTACAGATGCTGAAGAAAAAAGAAGATGAAACTACAGATGCTGAAGAAAAAAGAAGATGAAACTACAGATGCTGAAGAAAAAAGATGAAACTACAGATGCAGAAGAAAAAAGATGAAACTACAGATGCTGAAGAAAAGAAGATGAAACTACAGATGCTGAAGAAAAGAAGATGAAACTACAGATGCTGAAGAAAAAAGAAGATGAAACTACAGATGCCGGAGAAAAAGAAGATGAAACTACAGATGCTGAAGAAAAAAGAAGATGAAACTACAGATGCTGAAGAAAAAGAAGATGAAACTACAGATGCTGAAGAAAAAAGAAGATGAAACTACAGATGCTGAAGAAAAAAGATGAAAGTAGAGAGATGCTGAAGGAAAAAGAAGATGAAAGTAAAGAGAAGCTAAAGAAAAACAAAACGGAAGTCGAGAAATGATGAAGAAAAAGAAGACGAAAAGAGAAAACGCTGAAGAACGTAGAGAGGGGGTGTAGAGAGCTGCAAGGTATAGAGGGGGGTGTAGAGAGCCATGATAGCCTACGTCCCGAAAGGACATGGCACATAAAAAGAAAGAGGCAGATCATTATACAGTTGTCATCAGCATAGATATTCACGAGATGAAGAAGAGACTCGAGACGACAGAGATGTGATTCTACAGAGGGATGCTAAGGATATCATGGACGGAGCGTGTAAGCAACGATGAGGTCTTAGAGAGGATGCAAACCAGGAGGAGGCTTATGCTTAACCTCAGGAAGAGGCAGCTGAAGTTTCTAGGACAAATAATGAGGAAGGGGGGCCTGGAGAATCTGATACTCACGGGTCGAATAGAGGAAAAGAGAAAAGGAAAACAACGCATGACATACCTAGTGGCTTTAAGCAAGTGGATGACATAACGTGCTCTTGACGGGAGGTGGCAGAGGGAAGGAACTTATTGAGAGCTGCAAGGTATAGAGGGGGTGTAGAGAGCTGCAAGGTATAGAGGGGTGTAGAGAGCTGCAAGGTATAGAGGGGGGTGTAGAGAGCCATGATAGCCTACGTCCCGAAAGGACATGGCACATAAAAAGAAAGAGGCAGATCATTATACAGTTGTCATCAGCATAGATATTCACGAGATGAAGAAGAGACTCGAGACGACAGAGATGTGGTTCTACAGAGGGATGCTAAGGATATCATGGACCGAGCGTGTAAGCAACGATGAGGTCTTAGAGAGGATGCAAACCAGGAGGAGGCTTATGCTTAACCTCAGGAAGAGGCAGCTGAAGTTTCTAGGACAAATAATGAGGAAGGGGGGCCTGGAGAATCTGATACTCACGGGTCGAATAGAGGGAAAGAGAGAAAAGGGAAAACAACGCATGACATACCTAGTGGCTTTAAGCAAGTGGATGACATAACGTGCTCTTGACGGGAGGTGGCAGAGGGAAGGAACTTATTGAGAGCTGCAAGGTATAGAGGGGGTGTAGAGAGCTGCAAGGTATAGAGGGGGTGTAGAGAGCTGCAAGGTATAGAGGGGGGTGTAGAGAGCCATGATAGCCTACGTCCCGAAAGGACATGGCACATAAAAAGAAAGAGGCAGATCATTATACAGTTGTCATCAGCATAGATATTCACGAGATGAAGAAGAGACTCGAGACGACAGAGATGTGGTTCTACAGAGGGATGCTAAGGATATCATGGACCGAGCGTATGAGCAACGCTGAGGGCTTAGAGATGATGCAAACAAGGAGGAGGCTTATGCTTAACATCAAGAACCGGCCGCTGAAATTCCTGGGACGCGTAATGAGTAAGGAGGGCCTGGAGAATTTGATACTCACGGGTCGAGTAGCGGGAAAGCAGCTCGTGACATACCTGGCGAGCTTGAACAGGTGGATGGCAGAACGTGGTCTGGGGGAGGAAGCAGAGGGAAGGAGCTTGCTGAGAAACCGCAAGGGATAGAGGGAGGTGGAGAGCCATGATCGCCTACGTCCTGAAAGGACATGGCACATAAAAAGAAAAGAAAAAAAAGAACAAATAGAAATATAAAAAAGAGGAAGAAAATGGTAATAAGGACGAAGGCAGAAGAGAAAATGATGAAAGAAGAAGAAGAAGACGAAGAAGAAGAAGACGAAGAAGAAGAGGAAAAAGAAGAAGAAGAAGAAGAAGACGAAGAAGAAGAAGAAGAATATAATAAAGGTGAGAGAAAAGAAGAAAGTAAAAAGAAGAAGAACCATATTCTAATGATGAAGAAAAAGACGTGTCATTAATAGATAATAAATGATGAAAAAAAGCCCCTTTTGAGAATGAAGAGATATGCAAATTGGGATCTTTCTAGAAAGGTAGATAAAAAATGCTAAAAGAGAGAATAAAGTAAAAAAAAAAAGTTTCCGTATTCCTTATTAAATGTCATAAAGTATCATAATTATAGTACAACGTATAATATTTACAGGACAAGCATGTAAAATAAAGGGTGCTTTAAAAGTCTATATCCCATTATAAGAACTCTTATATTATATATAATGTACAGTGTATGTGTGTGTGCATCTCCTCCGCACCCACTGCTCCGATTACAATGAATCATAGCTCATTCAAAAACCTTAGAAAAGTTAAACACAGGGAACGATTTTCGTTGAACTCATATCCAGGGTTGCCAGATTATGTGAGGTTAAAAATATATATTAATATATTATACTAGCCATTACCGTTGCTTTCATTTTTCAAGGGGAGTAACTCTTATTTTCCTTTTGTATCCAAAATTACATTGCATATAATAAAGTCCTGTAGTTATGTAGAAGAAGGTGCGATGGGTATCAATAAACTACAAAAGAACTCAAAATTGATCGCTGCATTTAAGTATTGCATTAATATCTAAGCTTACCTTTTAAAAGTTCAACGATAATTCTTCTGCTGCCACTTAATTTAAAGACGATTTGATGTACGTAGGTCCTTATTTTCCGTACAAGCAATTATTTTTATTTCTTGGGTGACAGAACAATGAACAATTTATAAGATAAAATTAATATAGTGTAAAGATGGGAAAATAGAAATTAGAATTGATTATGCATTATGATAGATAATTAAGTAAAATCTATATTATAGAATATATATATATATAAATGAAATTATATGAATAAATGCGAAATCGGAGGACAGTAATCCAAAGTATTCTGGGGTTAAAAAGCCACCAAAAATAGTACTGTTTAGGAATATTGTCTTATATAGTTAAATGTATTTTAAGGTTGCATGCGATAAAGGAAGAATGTCACATCGTCTTATGACAAGTTAGGCACAGAGGAGAGGAAATGTCTTAAAACTTCGTGTGTCAGTAGCAAAGAGAGTGATTTCAAGATTTTTTGAAGCGAAAAGTTCGATTTTAGGTAGAAGTTTCTGCTGCATGCTGAGAGAAATTTTATTATTTTGGTTTTATTTATTTTATTTTAAATACAGTTTTAATGTTGTTTGTTTTATTTCAGATGTTTATTATTATTATTTCATATTTTTATTTATTAATAATAATTTTCCTACAAAGACTTTAAATTGTTGTTCTATTTTTAAAATGTGTTTTAACTGATTCACAACGTTCTTGTTCACACACAGTCTGTCTATTTATTCTTCTATCATCGTTATATCTATTTTTCCTGCTATCTATCTATCTATTATTCTATTTATTTTTTCTATCTATCTATCTATTCTTGCTTCTATTAACGATCTATCTATGTTTCCTTCTGTCTGTCTATTTTTCCTTCTATCATCGTTATATCTATTTTCCTGCTATCTATTATTCTATCTATCTATCTATCTATCTATCTATTCTTGCTTCTATTAACGATCTATCTATGTTTCCTTCTGTCTGTCTATTTTCCTTCTATCATCGTTATATCTATTTTCCTGCTATCTATTATTCTATCTATCTATCTATCTATATTCTTGCTTCTATTAACGATCTATCTATGTTTCCTTCTGTCTGTCTATTTTTCCTTCTATCATCGTTATATCTATTTTCCTGCTATCTATTATTCTATCTATCTATCTATCTATTCTTGCTTCTATTAACGATCAATCTATGTTTCCTTCTGTCTGTCTATTTTTCCTTCTATCATCGTTATATCTATTTTTCTATCAATCTATTTTCCTTTCTTCTATCTATCTATCTATCTTCTCTCTCTCTATATATATATATATATATATATATATATATATATATATATTAGCGTTAAATGCTCTGCAGGTTGGCTTTGTTATCTTGTCTGTTAATTCAAATGTAACGTATTTGAATTAACGCTTCATTTGATTTTACGTTTCATTTAATGCGTCATTTCTGGGCTCGTGAACATTGAGTGGAATGTTATGAATACGAGAATAAGTACACGAGGTGTCAGCATTGCAACCTGGAAGCGGGGGGGGAGTGGCAAAAATAAAGCTGATGACATCCTAAGGAGGTTTGGGTGGGGCTGAGGTGTTGCTTAGATTGATAACAATGTTTCTTTGATCCCGACCCCCGGACTGATTCCATGATCATCATCGGGCATATACATTGCTGTCACAGCAGATTTATATGTTATGGACTATCTAAGCGCGGCTTAGATGTGGCATAAGGCCGAATGTATGGAGCACGCAGTGAGAATCGAACTCACTACTTAGTCGTAACTGATCTAAAAAGCTTTCTAATAACCATTACACCACGTCGTCTGACCCCCCCCCCCGCAGCACTATATATATGATAAAATACAAATGCATGCATGGTGTGTAAACTGTGAAAAAAGCAAATGGATAAACGAATGAAAGCTATATAACTTTGTTTAATGTATTTTATTTCATGAGGCATTTGTTTCTGAACATGGCTCTCCACATTTTCCTGCCTTTCACCGTTTTAACTAACTCTTTCTCTTTTACCACCCCTCTTTTATTTTTTTTTTTTGTTCTATCAATCATTTACTCAAACTTATTAAGTAGATTACTCTCAGTTTGCCCCTGCTTCTCTTAACCTCGATGTGTACTGAGTGTGTTAAATTCTCCAAACATTCTTTTCTCATTACGTGCTTTAAAATAACTGCTGTGTATATTTCCCCGAGAGCTTTTCCGTTGCTCAGATATTGTTTCAAGGATATTCTTAACTATTCTTGAATAGCCTCATTATATCGAGATATGCAAATGGACGTCATGCATAGAGCAAAACTCGTTGAAAAAAAAAATCTAAACTATCAGCTTTAAAAAGTTGCTTCTTAAGACCAGTGGTTAAAGGTCTTTGAGCAAGTGAAACCTTTTTGGTAAAAAAAAAAAAAAACTTCTTTCAACATTGTGGACTGGTGCTAAACATTCACGAACAAATAATTGTATCTAATGACAGAAACCACAATACATGAGGTCTACCAACAGTAGCAACTATTAAAATATAGAGAGAACACCTGTCACTGGAAGAGAAAATAATAAGACTACCAACAGCCGAAACAACTAAAATGGTTATCCCGTGAAACTGAAAGTCAAAATAAGAATATAATCAAGATGTTGACTTTCCACAGTACTTCAGACAAAAGGTTAGCAAGGAAACCACCATCAATACTTGAAAGAGCGATAACAGCTACTGGACAAGAGAATCCTGTTTTGTGAAAAGAAAATAAGAAGAAAAAGATTTTATAAGCATAAACCAAAACCATTACAGGCTTCTCGGTCAACGAATGCCAAATATTTCTTTGTTGGAAGTGAAGCCTGGGGAGTCTTGGTAAAGATCAGTTCTCTTTGAACACTGGCATCTAGCCTACAGTGACTTTCTCACAGACGTGACGCGGCTTCCCTCTCTCTTTTCTACAAATATTTTCATGGCAACTGCTCTGACGATCTTTCTTTCCGGGTGCTCCGACGACATGTATTTAATCATTTACTTATGCTTGCCCTCTTTTGTGGCCGGTGATTTATACGGTATTAAATCGATCCAAATAAACCTCCATAGAACCTGTCCAATCGCCCTTCCGACTCGACGGTCTTTGATTTTTGTTTGTTGCGTTCAACTCGCTTTTCGTATCAATAATCTTCCTTAACTTGCCACATTTTGCAGGTTTATCTCGTCAGAATCCATATTGTACATTTACGAAATTTACCATTCGTCCTTGCATTAAATATGCTAGCCATATCTGGTCTGGTACTCCAGCTGTTCATCTAGAAGTTCTTGAAAATATACAAAAGAAGGATCTGCAATATAATTGATCCTGACTTGACATTTTGACTTCATTCACTTTCTCACCGACATGACGTGGCTTCCCTCTGTCTTTTCTACAAATATTTTCAAGGCAACTGCCCCGACAAGCTACTTTCACTGGTGCTCCAACTTCATGAATTTAAGCGTGTTACTAGGTTGGCATCTCGGTCCCACCCTTTCAATATCAAAGCATTTAAATTTAACCGCCTCTTCTATCCCAACAGCTTCTTCTCTTGCACTTGCCAACAGTGGAACTTCCTTCCTCTTAATTGCTTCTCTGATAACTATTATCTTTAAAAATTTAAATGTAATGTCAATCGACATTTTCTGATGTCTTGACCTTGATCCCCTTCCTTCTCTTTATTCTTTTCTTCAAACACCCCCTCTTTCCTCTTATTTTAACTCTCAGTAACCCCTTGCGTGCTAGTGGCAACTTCCACCTTGCTTAGAGGAAAATGTTTTTAAAAAAATGACGCTACAGATTCACAAACAAAGAACTGTAACAAATAGTAGAAACTACATCACTCGAGGACTACCTGTTGTTCATGATGACGGTCGTCTTCGAGTATAGAATCCAGAGGTTAGCAGTGAATATTTCGAAGACAGTAGGAAAGCGTTGTTCAGGTTAGCAGTAGATATTTTGGTTAAAGTAGCAGTAGTTCAGTAGTTCAGTAGTAGTTCCTCTTCGCCTGACAAGTTGGCACTGGACATTCGGAGAGAGTAAACGAAATGGCCGCCTTTATACACGACGGATTGAATATTTTACGTCTTCTGATTGGTTAATCTTCTATTCTATTGGACTATAAAGTGAGTCAAGTCATTTGGCCTAGCTCACTAGTTACATATATACCCAAAAAACTGCAACACTATACCAACAGTCGCAACAACTAAAATGGATAGCACATGTCACTCGAAGAGAAAATAATGACATCGAAGAAATTAGCATTCCACAAAACTTACAATAAAATTTAAGAAGGAAACCTGCATCAATGTTGGAAGGAGAGATAACAGTTTCTGGACTAGTGAAGCAAATTTTCCTGAAAAATCCCTTTAAGAGGAAGATTTTATAAATTTCGACAAAAATCAGTAATGGTTGCTCGGTCATTGAAGGCCAAATGTTTCCTTGTGAGGAAATAGTTAATATTATCATTAAACGTTTCTATCTGTTCATAGGTTCTGTCCAGGTTATTCCCAGCCAGTAGTAAAACCCCATATCTGTCTGACTGTTAGCATCATTTTCCTTGTAATCACTAGACTCCGCGAATTTTCTCCGTTGCCCACATATTCTGTGAATGCTATTCTCGGCTTGTAAGAACGACATCTCGCTCGATACAAGTCTTTTTTTTTACCTGATTGTTAGCAGCTGTTTTCTTGGAGTTCCTATTCTCCTTAAAATGTTACCATCTCTCGCGTATGTTGTTTTCCCAGCATTCGTCAGAAGAACCTCAACTCTATTGCTTTAACTGTATCTTCTTCGTCATCAACTCCTCCTCCTCGTCGTCTGCTAATTCTTCTTCTTCTAATCAATCTATCTTCTTGTGCTTCTTTTAATTCTTCTTCTTTTATCTCTGCTAATTCCTCTTCTACTAATCAATCTACATTTTGCACTTCTTTTAATTCTTCTTCCTCTCCTCTGCCAATTCTTCTTCTAATCATTCTACCTTCTTGTACTTCCTCTTTTAATTCTTCTTCTCCTAATACTACTACTACTCTACTAATACTTCTTCTAACTGTTCTACCTTCTTGCACTTCTTTTCTTTTTCTTGTATTTCATCATCTACTCTTCCTCCTCCTCCTTGTCTGCTAATTCTTCTTCTAATCATTCTCCCTTCTTGCACTTAGTTCGTTCTTCTCCTCCACCTCCTCTGCTAATTATTTTCCTTCTAATCATTCTACATACTTATACTTCTTTATTTATTCTTCTTCTTCTTTTTCCTCTCCTCTGCTAATTCTTCTTCTTCTAATCATTCTAACTTCTTGTACTTCCTCTTTTTAATTCTTCTTCTTCTACTACTACTACTACTAATATTATTCTGCTAATTCTTCTTCTAATCATTCTACCTTCTTGCACTTAGTTTCTTCATCTTCTTCTTCTTTTGCTTCTTCCTCTCCTCTGCTAATTCTTCTAATCTTTCTACCTTCTTGTACTTCCTCTTTTAATTCTTCTTCTTCTAATACTACTACTACTACTTCTAATTGTTCTACCTTCTAGCACTTCTTTTTCTTGTATTTCATCATCTCCTCCTCCTCCTCCTTTTCTGCTAATTCTTCTTCTAATCATTCTCCCTTCTTTTAATTCTTCTTCTACGACTATTACTCTGCTAATTCTTCTAATCATTCTCCCTTCTTGCACTTAGTCTGTTCTTCTCCTACTCCTCCTCCTCCTCCTCTGCTAATTCTTCTAATCATTCTCCCTTCTTGCACTTAGTCTGTTCTTCTCCTACTCCTCCTCCTCCTCCTCTGCTAATTCTTCTAATCATTCTCCCTTCTTGCACTTAGTCTGTTCTTCTCCTCCTCCTCTGCTAATTCTTCTTCTTCTAATCATTCTACCTTCTTTTACTTCCTCTTTTAATTCTTCTTCTACTACTACTACTATTATTCTGCTAATTCTTCTTCTAATCTTCCACTTCTTTTCTTCTTCTTTTTCTTCTTCTTCTTCTTGTATTTCATCATCTACTCTTCCTCCTCTGCTAATTCTCCTTCTAATCATTCTACTTTCTTATACTTCTTTTAATTCTTCTTTTTCTTCTTCCTCTTCTTTTGCTTCTTCCTCTCCCCCGCTAATTCTTCTTCTTCTAATCTTAAACAAAAAAAAAAATTCAACATTTATTACCAAGTTTTAAGAAGCAGGACTTCAAATAAACCTTTCAAAAATGGAAACGCTCTTGTGGAATTAGAATTAGAACAGCGGTTGTAGCCATTTTGAATCCATTACAAAAATTCAGAAGCTACGATTCATATATTTTAAACTGTACGGGCGGCTTCCAAAATACCATTCAAAAACACAATTTCAGAAACCGTTGCTTTGAAAATCATGTTTGCTTTATCTGATTGATCAGAGAAGATGTTTCATGACCCTAGTATTTTTAGACAGTACACCCATGTGCAAATTAATTGAAACAACCACTTTAGTTTCCTTTCTTTCACCATACGGTCAGATTTAGACCCGCTAGAGTGACAGGGTTTTCTCAGGTCATTTGCAGTGGTGTGTAGTAATATGAATCTACTTTAGGGGGGCACGATGAAATTTATTTGGCCTTGAAAATTATTGCGACATCCGTAAATTGCATCAGATTTACATCACGCCCACACACTATTGTTTAGGCAGTCGATTAGTTGTCATACGGTCATTGTCAGCGATGGACGTTACTCCAAGGAAGCGTACGAAAATTGTAACGCAGCACGAACATCCTGGCAAGCATTACCAGTGAGCAAATCAAAGTAACTATAGATTGGTCCGGAAAATCTGCTGATTTAAATCCAATTGAGAATCTATGGTCAATCTGCAAGGAACGACATCGTGTACTGGGTCATGTTTTCTTGGAAAAATACGAGGAAATATAAATAATAACGGAATTATTTGTATTGTTTCAATTAATTTGCATAATGGTGTATACTGGAAGTGTGTGAATGGAGTCGGACAAAATGAAGATCTGTTTCAGATATATATGGATGCAGTAATGAGTACTTTCGTTTAAGTTAAAGACTTTGGAGTCCCAACAGGGTCCGACAAAACAATGTAAATACCTGGCGTAGGGATCAAATGTAACATTTAGTTTTGAAGGTAAGGAATTTAAACATAGGAGAGGATCCATTTGCATAGGACTATAAAATGCTGCAAGACATTTTTTTTTAATTATTTTATTCGAAGCAAGGCGATGAAGCTATTAAACCAAAAGGAGTTAACAGGAGTGAAGGAGAATGAGAAGCCTTTAATGAGGAGAAAGGACAATAAAAGCAAGAGCATTACCAAATAACGAAAACCACATCAACTGAACTCTTACAAGAACAGAAATAACCAAATGTGTAGTATATGTAAGTAGAAGAGGAAAGGATGATATAATCAAGAAGTTGTTATTCCACACGGAAAAGAACAAAAGGTTTGGAAGGAAACTCCAGTCATTACTGGAAAGAACAATAAGAGTTAATCAGATACGAAAATGTTTTAATAAAACTATTCTTTGAATTCCAAACAAAAGTAGCACCGGTTCTTCGGTCAATAAATGCCAAATATTTGGTGTATAGAAAATTTGCATCATTATATATATATATATATATATATATATATATATATAGATAGATAGATAGAGAGAGAGAGAGATAGAGAGAGTTTAAGCACTAGCATACTCGAGCAATATATATATATATATATATATATATATATATATATATATATATATATATACCTGGAGAGTAAGCCCAGTTTTTGAAAGACCTCCAGTGACGAGGTGCAGGTTTTCGAAAATTCCAGCATAAGGAGTTGATGGACAGACCATGTGTGAATGATTTCGAACTAGTCTAAGTATTACGTTGTTCTGAAATTACTGTCCGATTCTAGAATAAACCTTTTGACTCCTCAAATATTACTATAATAGCTGCACAAAAATATATCGCTCATTTCTAAGGATTAAAGTGTCCTATTTGTTAATTCAATATCAATCTTTTTCAGAATTTAAATTATTAGTTTTGTCCGGAACATAATGTCCTATTTTAAAATAAAAAAAAATGATGTCCGATTTTAGAATAAACCTGTAATTGTGTTCTACTATGTTATTATAATAGTTGCACAAAAATATATTACTCATTCCTAATGATTAAAGTGTTGTCTTAAATGTATATCAATATCTTTCAGAATTTAACTTGGAACATTATATACCCTTCATCTTGAGCATGAAAAAGAGGCTCAAGTTTGGACATAATGCTTCTCAAACTCTTGCCAACAAAAGAAAATCAAGCGGCGAAGGATACATTGCACAATATTTATAGGCGAAAAGAAATTTCCTTGCATGAAGATGCAGAAATATATTAAAAGACTTCCCACCAACTTAACGACCTGATCAACTTCTACTCAAATCAATCCTATCATTCCGCCATCAGTTCCCACAAGCTCGTCCGGGAGCTAGCTTACTGCCTTCCTGTAAGTCTCCAAGAATTTTTAACAGTCTCTTTCTGAAGATCCTATAAAATTAAATTTGGTATAATTGTTCTACTTAAGAGCATTAAGAATTTGCATCCCGTAATACTTACCCAAAGAAGAAACGCACATAAAAAACACTTTCAAAAATCTCCAATATCCCTATCACTTCATCCACAACGCAAAAAGAAAGGCACAACAAATACCTGACCGCAACAATAATAAATTATCCACAAGAATAAGTTCAACAAAAACAGATACATAACACTATCTACAAACTCTATAACATACAATATCCAGATCAAATTATCTCAACAAAACACAATCCAAATAGTCACATCCACTTCCACATCCATTATTGCTATAATCAGAACTAAAAATTACAATAATAATTATAAGCAGCATATATAAAATAAATTGCCTAAACTGTTCGTCAGAGTACATTGGGGAAACATACAGAAATTAAAAAAAACAAAAACGTATCTATGAACACAAAAAGGGACCCCAGGAATAACAATTTAACAAATGCACTCGTCATACACAGCAATAAATTCGAGCAGAGATTTGATCTAAAAATGCCACACTAATTAAAAGAGAAAGTAATTTACCCTCGTGAGCTGCCATTTCCTGATGTCCAGACGTTTAGTGTTTAGTCGTAAAGACATAAACTTGCAACTCGATGGCATATATATATATATATATATGTGTGTGTGTGTGTGTGTGTGTGTGTGTGTGTGTGTGTGTGTTCCTTTTTTACTCATTTAAAAACGATTTAAATACATTAATTCAGAAAAAAAAAGTTGATTATAAATCGGACATTATTTTACGAACAACCTATTAATTTAATTACTTTTAATTTTGTAATTAAATTAAGCAAATACAATTGTCTCCAAATAGAATTTAAGAATATTTCATGGTTTCTTGATGATTTTATTTTCTAAAAAGTTTTTAAAAAAGTTTTAAAATGTGTGTGTGTTATGTTATATGTGTATAAGTGCGTTTTTTGAAGCTGTCTTTGTGTACGTTTGTGTGTGTGTGTGTGTGTGTGTGTGTCTATGAATGTGAGCTTGTGTGTCGGAATGTAAGTTGTAAGTCTTTTGTTCCTTATGTGTGCGTGTAATTTTTGTGTGTGGTGTTTGTATGTATTTGTGTATGTTTGTGTGAGTTTCTGTGTGTGTTAAATTTTTCAAAGATAATCTTTAAATTAAGAGTGAAGTGAGAATTATCGAATTATGCTAATTCGGACAAATCTGATAATCCCATAGATGAGCCATCCGAAGATTATGGAGGTATATACTTTCGAATTGCACTGTACAGGAAAAGCATGAAAAGTCGAAAGACAGACAGACAATTTCAGTCTTTTTTTGTATAGTGAAAGAGGGGCGACGAGAAAGAGCGAGTAACCTATGCAATTATTTCTTTTTCTTCTTCTCTTTTTTCTTTCTTTTTCTTCATCCTCTTTTTCTTCAACTCCTTTTTTCTTATTCTTTTTCTTCTGCCCTCGTTCTTCTTTTCTTCTCCTCCTCCTCCTTCTTTTCTTATCCTTCTCCTCCGTCTTTCTCTTCTCTTCCTCCTGCTTTTTCTTTTTCTTCTTCTTCAATTTTCTTATTCTACTTTTTCTTCTCCTTCTTCAGCTTCTTCCTTTTCTTCTTTTTCTCTTCCTTTTCTTCTCCGTCTCCTTCTTCTCCTCCTCTTCCTTCTTCTTCTTCAATTTTCTTATTCTACTTTTTCTTCTTCTTCAGCTTCTTCCTTTTCTTCTTTTTCTCTTCCTTTTCTTCTCCGTCTCCTTCTTCTTCTCCTCTTCCTTCTTCTTCTTCTTCTTCTCCTCTTCCTTCATCTTCTAAGTTCAGTGTCTCTTCAAGACATGAGCGATCATTGCTCTTCAATACCACCTATCCTTTGATATAATGTCTACCCTTTTGCTAAGGTTCCAGCTTTGCATTCGGCCATCAGTTCCCGCAAGCTCGTCCGGGAGCTGGCGCATTGCCTTCCTGTAAGTTTCCAAGAATTTTTAACTGTCTCTTTCTGAAGATGAACATGTGTCCTTTTAGTTGCCATTTTTTTTCAAGATTTCTTCCATGCTTGCCCGACCCGTCCATGCAATGACCTTCTGTAGAACCATATGTTTGTTGCTTCCACTTTTCTCTTCATCTGTGAGGGGATTATCCAGCATTTACTTCCATATAAGGAGCGGGATATAATAATAATCCACCACGCTAAACAGCATAGATATTCGAGATAATTGCAAGAAGGGGTTAAAGTCCACTGGAGATAACGCTTCATACGGTAAGGGAACAAATAAATGTCAGTAGTCAACTGACTGTCATCTAACGACTATTGAATATAAAGAATAACGGCGAAAAGGGGGTCAAATTCTTTGGCAATGATTTCTTGACCGATAAGAACTGACATAAGCAGCAGGTGTCAGTGGACCATTATCCCACGGCGTTTCTTAACAAACAAAGAATAGTAACTGAAACTTAAGGACGCTATACGAAAGAGGCCTGCTAGAAAATATGTAGCAGAACATGAATTAGCGCCTCCAAAACTAAGCTCCTCTCTATTAATCATCTGAGAGACCCCTCTCTGCCTTCCGTCAGTATGGCTGATGCTAACCCCCAGGAAAGTTCTCAGCTGACATGAAGTGGAAAGACAATATTGAATCCATTGCGAGGTCAGCAAGCTAAAAAACATTTATTCACTCTGTCGTGTAAGACATTTTTTTCTCCCCGGAATCTATCTTACATATCTATAAGACTACCATTCGTCCATGGTTAGAATATTGTTGCTAAATTTGGTCCGGCTCAGAAATAACTAAACTCTCAGCTGTATACAACCGATTACAAAGATCAATGGTTGAAAATGGCTTTGAGCTAGCGAAGCCAGAAGATCTTGGGAAAATCACCCGACTTTGAACATTATGGACTGGCGCTACAGAATCACAAATTTCTATAACACACAATATGAATCACATCACTTGAGGACTACCAATATCAGCAACAACTAAAATGGATAGCACGTGTAATTCGAATAGAAAATAATGACAACCAATATACTGACATTCCACACTACTTCAAATAAAAGGTTAGGAAGGAAACCTCCATCAATAATTTGAAGTAGCGATAACAGCTATTGGACTTGAGAAATCTATTTTCCTGAAAAAATATTTTAAGATAATAAATCAAGCGAAATCAGCACTGGGGACTCGGTTAATTAATGCCAAATGTTTCCTTATAAGGAAACAGCTGATATTACCTTCAGAATTAGTAGTTTTCGCTTTTGCGTTAAGTACAGAGATTATATGATGCACAAAATTTAAGCAAACCTTATTACGCAGGAAAAAAATATTGTAAAAGAAAAAAATCGGAATAAAATAATTAAAAGCTATTGAAGAGATCTCACATACATACATCTATGACGCCTTTTTTTTAATAAAACAAAAAGCAAAAGAACAGAAGACAAAAAAAAGAAAATGGCGGATTTTCATTATTTTACCGCCATAAATACGTTACGTTTACCTCTTTAACGCCTGCCTCATTCATTTCTCCTGTGTTATGAAGAGATTTTTCCTTTTCCTTCTGCCATCGTTTTTTTTTATCCACCCTAATTACGATAGATCAGATCCTCGGAGACCGTCAATTTAACAGCAGGCATGGTGTGAAAGTAGAAGTTAATTAAGCACATTTTTACCCAATCATAATGAAGAGATAAAATGCAGAATATATTGTAATAATCTCCCAGACACGCGCATGCGCATCGGCACACAGACGCACGCATGTATAAATCAATAGATTTACATATCAATATAATAAAATTGTCTAAAATTCGCTATATAAAATGAGAGAAGTAAAAACAATGGATGAATGAAACAATAAGGGAAGCAAAAAATAAGGACATAAATAAACATAAATAAATTGCTTGGAATTTGTTTATAAAAATTAAAATGCAAATAAATCTGACATAAAATAGTTAAATAACAGTAAATAAATAAAAAAATAATATTGATTAAGTACTTCGAATTTGCTATGTAATATTAAAAAGTAAATAAATGTTAAAAGAGAAAAATAAATAATATAATTAATCAATAAATCAAACATTAGTACATGATAAATTTAAAAAAATATTCTTGTAGCTTAGATATTGTATTAAAATTAAATAATACAGTGTGCGGCAGAAATATCTCCCACATTTTAAACTGTCATGTGTGTGGTGCTAATGCTCTTACGCAAGTGACAATGGTAACATCCTCTAGTCAATGTCTTGCTAATTTGTTTTTCTGATGTCATCCGTTACTTTCATGGATTGGACTGGTGGATACCATACATTTTCTGATGAAACGTTCTTAATGAATGGTGAGTCTGTAATTTCAGCTGAGAGATCTTTTCGTTCCCAATTTATCTTACATCGTAATGATGAATCTATTCTGCTATCGGATTGAAAAATTTCAGGCCCATAGGTTAAGCACTTAAATGAAAGCTACCTCGAAGACCTCGAAGAGTTCAAACTTCCAGGTGATGGAAAATTTTAGAAATCGTCTGCAACAGTGCATGACGAATAGAGACCAAAATTTGGAGGATGTCGTTTTTAATACTAAAATAAAAAAAAAACTGTAGCCCTTTGTTTAAACTATAGTGAGATAATATTACATGTTACGTCGGAATGATGAATCTATGCTGCTATTGGATTGACAATTTCAGGCCAGCAACGCCAGCGCTTAAAACGAAGCCTCCTGGAAGAAAACCACGAAGCGCCCAATGTTACGGGTGATGGAAAACTTTAGAAATCGTCTCCAAGAGTGTATGGCGAATGATGAGCATCTTTTGAAGGATGGCATACCAAAAGGAATAAAAACAATATCCCTTTGTTTAAAGAATAGGGAATTTTTTTTTAATAGTTCGCTTGATCTATTTATCAGCCATTAAACTGGGGGATATGGGCACGTGGCTGAGTGGTTAGAATGTTCGATTCTCACCATGGTCGATTTATCAGGAAGGAGACTACCTGATGTTATTGAGTGGAACGTTCGATCCCATTCTGCGGCACTTTTGGAAAACCATAGCACGGGTTGAGCTAAGCTCTGTCAGTGAAGTTGGTTAGACAGATGCTGTGTTAGCACGAAGTTACAAGTCCTCGTGGCCGAGTGTGCTGGCCTTGTTCAAATTGTTGATCACGCTAGATAACACGCTCTTTCCCAGACTGGTTAATCTGTAATTCCCTCGTAATGATGCTACTCCGGATAGAAAATCGATACTGAACTGGTTTGAAAAGTCCAGGCTCACAACGTCAGCGCTTAAAACGAAACCACCTGGAAAAAGACCTCGAGGTTGCGGCTGATGGAAAACTTTAGAAATCTTCTATGTGTATGGCAAATATTGGCCACCGTTTGGAAGACTTGAGCCTGTGGCGCATGTCTATATCTTGATGAACGATATACTTGATTTTGTTCGTAATTTCTTATATAATAAAGCAAATTAGATTAATTTTTTTTAAAGCGTTTCACTCCAAGCAAGGCGGAAAGCCACTAGCACGCAAGGGGTTACAGAGAGTTAGAGCAAGAGCAAAGAGGGGTGATAGAGGAAACGATGAAGAGAAGGATAGGGGATAGATGAAGGCATCAGGAGACGTCAATTGACATTACATTTGAATATTTAGAGATTATACCTATCAGGGAAACAGGAAAAATAGAGGGAGTTCCCCAGGCGAGAAGTGCGAGACATAAAGCTATTGGAGTAGAAGAGACGCCTACATTTAGCAGTTTCGACACTGAAAGGGTAGGAGCGAGATGCCAGCCTAGTTGAACGCTTAACCTTATGAAGTCTGGGAACCAGTGAAAGCGGCTCATCGGAGCAGTTACCGTGAAAGTATTTGTAAAAAGACAGAGGGAGGCGACGGCACATCTCTGAGAGAGTGACTGTAGACGAGATCCCAGATCAGGGCAAACTACATTGCATATCCGTTTCTGGATTTTATCAAGAACCTTGAGACAAACAGAAAGGGCTCCAGACCATATATGGCAGCAATACTCCATGCAAGGTTGAATGGTTGATTTGTAAATTTGAAGGATCGACTCCGGCGAGAAAAATTTCCTGGCGCGGCACAACTTTCCTTGTGGTGGACGAAGCTATTGACTCAATGTATTTGTTCCATCTCAGGTCAGCAGAAAATGTGAGACCGAGCAGTCGCAAAGAGGTGCTCTCGTGGAGTTGAGCGTCAGACATTCTGATGGGGCGCAGGGATGGTTCTCTCTGGTGAGTAATAGAGAGCAGTTTTGTTTTTGATGCATTAAAGTTAACCAACCTATTGCTGCCTCAGTTCACAACCGACTGGAGGTCCTTTTCAAGACAAATGGCCAGGTTAGTTTTGTCAGCGACACTAGATTTGTTTTTGAGGCAGGAGTAAATAATAGTGTCTTCCGCGTAGATGCCTACTTGGGAACCTATGACGTCAGTAAATCGTTGATGAAGATAAGGAACAGAGTAGGGCCTAGGATGAAGCCTTGGGGAACACCTGCGTTCGTGGGATAGGAGCTGGAGAAGAATCCGTTGAGAACAGGGTTTGGCACAAATGATTAAGTCAAATAATCGACCAGAAATTCCATTACCCCGGAGCTTGCGAAGAAGGCCGGCGTGCTAAACCCTATCAAACGTTTTGGAGATATCTAGAGTCACGGCACGAGCTTCTCCGGCATTGTGAAGAGCTTGGTAGACGATTTCAGTTCTTGTAGACTGGTTGTCACCGAAGACAAGAAAAAACATTCCGCTCTAATATTTAAACCGTAGGTGGGACCTGTGACAAGGATAGGTTTCAGGATTCTCGAAGTGCCATTTGCTCAAAAAGCTAGCGC